AAAATTCCAATCCTATTTATGTACACGGAAATAAATATATCCCATGTTCTGTTTCTGTAAAAGTTATAGGTATAAGTTATATATACTGATATATCCACCTACGTCAATACACAAAGTCGTCCAAAATTCTAACAACACTTAAATAATTTCCAAGCTACTAACAATGCGACGGTGTGAGGTGGTTATCGCCGATATCCGCCGGACTAATTTTAAATTGTTCACGTTCAAAAATAAGTGGACCCGTATTTTTTCGTTTTCCTGAATGGGCATGTTTACGCCCTTGGCAGAATTTTCAAAAAAAAATTCAGCCAAAATTCGGATTTTTAAAAACGCTGTAACTTTTCGAATTTTAACCCGATTTAAAAAACAAACCCATTTTTTGTTCAGAATTACATCCCTGAAAATATAAAAATTCATTTTTATATTTTTATACCCAATTTGCATCCTGCTTGCCCAACTAGTAGGGCAAAGGAAAGATTATTTTGTGAAAACTAAACATAAAACCATCTCGGTCATCTGGTCAATTAGCTGTTATATCCTGATGGAAAATATATACCAGGGATCAATCTACTCCTGCCTAACTGTTACATTACCCCCCACCGTTCCAAGTACCGTGGAGGAATTAGTATCGTCGAATATACAAGCCATTACTATGTCACATTTCTATTATCAGAAGAGAGAGGATAGGATGCAGTCAGTTTTGAAGGATTTAATTCTACCGCAACTCATTTCAAAATTTCCGGCGACATCAAGATTTGGGAAGTTATTAATGAAATTGAATTCAAATTTATTTTTCGCAAATTCTAGCCAGATTTCCCTGGGAGAAATTGCACGTAAAGTCTCAAACTCTGAAAATTTCTTGTATCAGAATAGAACCATTGCTGCAAGTGGAATGTTGGCGGCAATTGATAAACGACTCGAGCTGGGACAATTTTCTAGCAGGATACAAATACTGGGCAAGCGTTTCTTGGCTACTGACACTTCAGCAAACACTGGAATTCAGTTAGTCGAAATGCAAATGGTATATAACAATTTCTTGATGCCGAAATTGTCTAAAGGATTGGGTCAATTGGTACAGTCAGGAATTTATGACCGCTGGAGTATCTTACACAATCTGCGGTATGATCTCTCATTAGTGCAAGCACTTGGAAATAATTCATTTTTCTAAATAAGTTATCTAAATTGGGAATGGATGGGAAGGGAACGCACACCGCGATTAGGCAAAGGTTAGAAGAATCAGTGTCGTTAGGAGTGATGAAATATGTGTTGTGGCTATGTATCATTATCCTTTCACTCTCATGTGTCTTGTGTTTGACAGAATACAGGGGGTGGTGCAGAGTTTTTTTCTGCAGAAACGAGACGTTGAGTAGCTCTAGCTAAAATGGATTAGATATGATTGACCACCTATCCTGCTTGAATTGATTGAAAACCAGATTTAAATCTGGTTTTCCATCCATGGCGATCCTTCTCAGAATATTTATATCCGTGGTGATGAGTCGGATCTTCTGCATAGAGAACGTGGGCTTATGGATCCTTAGCGTTGTCACACCGACTGGACGGTCTGGCAACCGACCATTGAGACGAGGAAATCGCGCAATTATCCACCCCGTACTTATAACACCGTATTAACACACTGTGAACTTACAGTAAATCAAATAGTTAAATAGAGATTTTTGCGATTTCAACAATCAATTTTTATGTAACTTTAGCACGGAATCTAAATCGAGTAAAATTTGGTACCTGTAGTGGGATTGAGCCAATCGCCTTCCCTTGATGTTTGTGTATCAAAGAAAATAAAAAGAAGGAACAAAATGCTCTGTTGTATATTGTGGGTTTTAGTTCTCTGCAAACATTTGCCGTGCTCGCTCGCGACATTAAAATATATAATCAGCGTTGGATGATGGCCGTATTCAAATTGTTAGCCCTGAGTCGCTCATGTGTTGAAGTTTTATGCGATCATTCAGCGTGTGGTGCACGACGAGAAGGGTCGGCTGCCCATCCAGTTTCAGGGTGCGGTCAGGTATGGTTAAATTCTTGAAGTGGTCGTAAACCAGTATTCCTTGGATGCACTGCTCTCCGGAAAATCCCTCCAGGGAGAAATTCTCTTTACGCTTCCGGCAAACTGTTTATCCAAAAAAAATAAAGTCACTTTTAAAGTTACATATAAGACCGTTGGCCAATTTCAATCTGTCCCCAGTGGTGCGGGAGTCAAAAAAGCAGACACACATGCACACACATCAAGTCGCTATTCTATAGCTGATTGCTATTAAAGATAAACGAACATCGCGAAAATTTTATTGTACAGACATATGTACATACTTCTGCATATGTGTATGTATTGAAACCAAAAAAAAATGCCAGGTTGTATATTCCTCCGGTAAAAACGATAATAGTCTTCACACATTTGGCACGATTTACAATTGAATGATTGCAAGTAATGAGTTTCACATGTTAAGCGTGCATTTTATTTTTTGCAATTTTCAGATTGGAAAAAATTTATAAATGGCTCAATTTATTGGGTTATTTTTAATCCACCAGACTTTTAATTGAAATCGCATAACTTAATATATTGAAATCGCATAACTTGAATTTGCAGTGCTTTAATTAAATTAAAAAACTCTAAAACTGAAATCTGCCAGACTTTTTACAATCATACATTTTATTCAATTTAAACAATTTGCCGTTAAAAATTGAAGGAAAACTTGAGTTATTTTTTAAAAATCTGTTATTAATAATTTTAGTCAACAAGTAGTGCCCTTCTGGCCTTCGCAGGGCGACCCCTAGGGCGTTTTGTCCCAACAGGAACGGTCACGGCTTCATCTCTAACGGTGAAATCTTTCCGGATTACAGCAATTCCCATTACATGCTTGCACATGTACTTCTTCTTGAATGAGGTATAGTTGCATCTTGAGCTACTCCACTCTTCCTCATTGTAATTTACAATCCACAACCTTTCCTTACATTTCTTGTATGTATCAAATTTCGTCCAGGTCTTCTTACACATTTTGTTATTGTACTGAATAATATCTTCGCTCTTAAGTGCAGGTAAACCGGAGGGGGTTATGTAGTAAACAACGGTACCCGGGCATCCTTTCTTACTTTTTAGAGGGGCCCGTTTCTTGTCGATGCTCCAGTTAAAAGATTTTGTTTGCAATTGGAGGGAATATGTTGGTGAAGTAGCAAATATTTTGCAATCTAACGAGACGGGATTTCTGTCTAGTGACCACCCTGACACTATTTTCTTGAGTGTTACAAATAGCTCACCAAGTGGGAGGCGTTTTCTAAAAGTGTTTTCGTTTTTAATCGTTGCGTTTATTGCTTCAGGCCCATTATTTGTGCATGGATATCCTGGAGCGTATCCTTCGTACCAACCATTCCGTTGGTTAAGATACTCTGTTTCGAAGTAGTCATAAAAATCTTTAGTATCTCCAGTTTTCCACTTTTTTATAAACAATTTTTTTGCGATATTAAATTCTTCTTCATTGTCTGCTAGTTGGAGGCAGTCTATGTCAAACGAGATTCCCTTCTTTTGGGACTCAGGAATTTTTGAGGATTTTAAGAATTTTTTTACATTCTGCTTAACGTGGAACCAACAGTAAACACGCTTAAATTCAACACGGAATACAGTTTGAAACGCATTGGTGATGGCTTCAGCGCAGTCTGCAACTAGCACCTCTGGTTCGAAATTTTCATCGTAGCCTTTTAAAACTTGGAAAACGGACGAAAAGTCTTCTACTGTTTCACCACTGGTTATAGCTATTCCAAATGGATGAAAATGAGAATCCTTATCTGACGTTCCAACCACCAGCACAGGAAAGCCTTCCCAATTTAACTTATACGTAGCATCGGCTTGTAGTAATTTGCATTGAGAAGTCATTGAGAGTAGTCGTTTTGTCGACATGAATAAACTAAACCTCTTAATTTCGAACTCGATTGAGTAACCAGCGACGAACGCGTCATCCATTTGTGTTGGAATCTCAGAGCTTCTGCGACATAAGTCGGATATTTGTCCCAAAGATACAATTCTATTCTCATCTTTGCTGTTGAGGTAATTAATACGGTTGGATATTTGAGTCCGAGATGGAGGATCTATTCCCTGTCGTCGTAAGTTGGTTTGAATCAATTTTGGTTGCGTAATTCCATCTTTTCTTAAAGAATCGATTATTTCTTTTGCTTCACTAGGGATGCCATGCTTCCCTTCGCCGTCATGGTCGTGAGGTTTACCATTGGTCAGAAGATTCACTATTTGAGAGTTTCCTAAGTACATAAACGGAATATAAGTCTTTTAATAACATGTGCAGTTAATATGTTGGTTTACCTGGCAAGTACAAGTGAACTTTTCCTGGGCAATCCTTAATTTTGAAATTATAATAGATTTTTTTCCCATCCTGCAATTCCTTAGCTGTGTGGCGAACAAAAGTTCCATTCAGTTTTATTTGAACTTTAGCTTCAAAATTGTCGAATGTTTCCAGTTTTTCCCAGTTATTCTTAGCTTGACGACGCCTTTTGGGGGGTGGTGGCACACCCTCATTCTCAAAATCACTAGATTCGCCGTCGTAATAGCTCAAAGTATTAAAATTTTCTTCCATTTTAAATGAATCAGTTTAAGATGGTGTGATTTAGCTGAACAGTCACTATCTTAATGGTTGTTTGCATATCACTGAATATACAAGTTATGAAAATACGTGTCTGATGGATTCAGTTATAGGAGTTATTTTAAGGCACATAAAGTACTGGAAATTCAAGTTATGGAATTTCAATATATTTAGTTGTGTGATTTCAGTTGAAAGTCTGGCCCATTAAATGACACCCTCTCTCTTCCTATCTAATTGTCAATATATGTGCAAAAACGAATAAGTATTTTCACAGACAATTATTCTCTTCAATTAGAGTTCACTTTCCATTCGCTCCATTCCAGAATTTACCAGCTAAACCTATTCTCAATACGAAGCTATAGTTCTATATTTATGTAAATCTAAAACCTAAGTTAAAATCACTGATACATACAATATTAAATTCCATCATTTCTTGCACCCCGCATAATCCCAACCACGCCAATTAAAACGATACAGCTTTCCGTCAACGCAATGCTATTTCCAATCACTAATTTGTTCTCAGACTCCATCCCAAGACTAATAAATGCAAATGTCCCAATTAAACCCGCGGCGACAAAGATTGTCAAAAGTTTCATGGTAAACCAAACCACGAAAATTCCAGGGTTCAGTCTAGTCTGAAAAATATTGAAAAAATTAAAACTTTTCGAGAGGCAATTTTTTGCTATTTACACACCTTCGTTAATCCAGTTACAAGGAGGATTAGTCCAAAACTTAATAAAAATGTTTGACATATGATGAAGAAACTGACCCCAGCATTTATCCAGGAGACTGAAATTTAATATTACATAATTATCCAATAAATTTTACGACTTCCGGTTTAAATTACAGAAATATTCATAAATTAATAAGTAACTTCCCATTTTATCTTACTTTCTTCTCCTCCGACACTAAGCAAAGTAATGTTTGTCGCTACAATTCCAATTGCAGTAAAAATCTCTACTGCTCCAATTGCAACGAGGTTTTGTAAATTTCTGTAAATCCATCGAAGCAAAATAACAAATAACTCCCACATTTTGTATGCTGCTGTATGTAACCAAATAAAAAAAATTGTTTTCAGGGTATGCAACTGTTTGCAAATTATGCACTTGGTATCAATTATAATACAAAAATTTTCAATTTACGTTTAGTTTTGCTATCTGACAAATCAGTTCGTGCGACATGCTTTAGTTGAAACTAAATAGTGAGTACAGTAATTTCTGGTTAGTTGTAAGATTAAAGCAGAGCTCGGCGGATATCGGGCGAAAACCTCCAAATATCCGGATATATATCCATATCCGGGCCAAAATCTCGCCCTCCAACCTCCAACCTCCAATATCCATCCCAAAATCTCGCCCTCCAACCTCCACCCTCCAATATCCATGCCAAATTCTCGCCCTCCACCCTCCACCCTCCAATATCCATCTCAAATTCTCGCCCTCCACCCTCCAATATCCATCTCAAATTCTCGCCCTCCACCCTCCACCCTCCGATATCCATGGAAAAATTTCGCCCTCCAACCTCCAAACCTCCAATATCCATGATATCCGCCGAGCTCTGGATTAAAGGGCGTATCTCGTACTCGAGTGCACTCACGCACAGAAATATTTAACACATAAATACACGGTTTTTCCGCATGCAACATAAATATTTAAGGACAAACAACAAATTGTGACCCAAATTTGTGGCCCAAACCAACTTCAACTTAATTACAAATATGTATCCTAGAAAAAAATAGGAACACGGAAATTATGAGTTTCAGTAATATCTGTATGGATACCTTTGTAAGTAGTATAGAAATTTAGAAATCATTTAAATGGAATTTAAACTTTTGTTGTTCACGACATGCCTAAAATATATTGCATGTGTATAGAGACATAATCTGCAAAACGTTGTGCTGTGGTTACACAAGTTTATGCCAAATAACTGATGGCCTTTTATAAAATTAAACTACCTTGGATTGAAATTGTATATTTGCGTATGAATGGTTGATTGTTGTGCGATTTTTTCTCTTCTTATTTCTGTTCATACTAAGTTAGCTGGAAGCTTAGATTTCAACTTACGAAATATTTATATAACCCAATTATGTACTTAATGATCCTAATGATGTTCGTGTGTTCGTTAAATCTAGGCCGTCTTTAAGACGGGCTTTTAGGCTAGTGTAAGTATAATCCTATAAACAAGGATCATCCTGCAAACACATGTAGGTATGTCCCTTATGGACAACAAAATTACAGCACTTGTACTTTAATAAAAAGTATCTTCACGGTCTTCGCAGTATTGCGAATTCCATGGACGAATCCCGTCGCGAAATTTAAGCTAGCCTTTCCCCATTGTGTCATAAGTTTAAAATTTTCTACCAAGAATACAGCCAGCCCAATCGCTAGGACAACTGAGCAGAGTGAGAAAGCCGGTAGAATTAACAAGGGAAACCTCCGAGGTGCAGGATGAATCCAGGGTTCCCACCTATACCAAAATGACCACAATATGCGATTTATGGCGTAAAGTGGTGAAATTTACGTGCAAAAATCACTTTTCGTCAATCTATGACGATATTCATGACGAGCGTGTGACCACGGTTGAGAGTAGGTTCAAGCGGCTAACCGTGCGATTCGGAGATGGCAACGAACTCTCGCTTTATCCAAATTCTAAATTAATATAATTTTAATTTTCACCTTCTTCGGAATTCTGTGCAGGATCATGTAGATGTGAATTAGTGTCGTTATTTAGTGGGTGGTAGTGGCATTCAACAAAAAAGTGGTCGAAACAGAGATGTAGGTTACAGTGTGCGCATTTGATGAAGCTTTCCATGGGACATGAATCCATTTCGCATTTATCATATGTTGATAAGAATAACAATTCTTGAACGTTTTTGAAGTCTTGCTTTTCTGTTGTGTATGTACAAGCGTACCAAGCATATTTGCACATTGGCACAAATATTTCGGATTGCATTTGATTAAAAATAAGTGAGTGCATTTTTAGCACATTCTCCCGATTATGCGTGTCCAACGCCAATTCGTCAAGCATCACTCTTTCAAAAATAAGTCGTCGGAAGATCTTATACTGACGAAATATGTACTTATCAAGTGGTTGGATAAGTGACGTAGCTTTTGCCGGAATTTTCTCTCTTCTGCAATTTTCGCCAAGGGACGAATACGTTTCTTCGTCGACCTGCCCAGCCCACGAGTCGTATATAAGCATTATTTGCTGATCGCTTATCAAAGGCTGAACACAATCATCGATCCATCGCTTCATCATCTGTTTATCCATTTTTCCCGATTTTGACACTGTTAAATATATGTTCTCTGGAACCCGTAAAGTTTCAGCGACACGAGGACCCAATACTCCTTTTGGTTCCTGAAGACATACTAGTAGTTTCCCATAAAATTTTCCACTCATTGATAACAAAGGCATAATTGTGTATGAATGAGATTTGGTGTTCTGAGACACAACTATTCCGAGCGTATCCTTTTCACCCTTGTGCGAAAGGGTCCGTCTTGGCGTGTATTCGTACGTGAAGCCTGATTGATCAAAGTTGTAAATATTTTTTTCCTCAATTCCTACCCGATATTCATTTAGCGTCTGCACAAATTCGCATGCTTCGTTTTCTACTCTATCGAGATTTTGATGCTCACCCATCGTTAAATACTTCGTTATTTTTCGCCCAACAATTCTGTTTCTCACTTTGAAGTCCATTTGGACTCACCTTAAATTTTAAATCAATTTCCCTTGATTTTGACTTCGCCCATCTTCTTAAATCCATCTCATTAACATGAATCATTGATGATATCGCATTCTCAAATCGCTCAAGCACAAATTTTTCCACCTGTTTGAATTTCTGAAATGTTGTGCTCTTCTTCTCTACATATGCTCGCAATCTGGTAATTGTTTTGCTGTGTTTAATTTTCTTAAATCGTCGTTTCGTTTGGTTGAATTTATTTTTTTAACATTATCGTAAAAATGAAGAATGTTCACCATTTCCTGATACGTAAAAACGACACCGTCAACCAGTTCCTCCTCCCATTCTTGCGACACTTGTTGAGAAAGGCTATCAGAGTTCTGTTCAACATCAAAACTATCACTATTTAAAGTATCACTATCACACACTAATTCACTATATGTATCTGTATATGTATCTATGTCCCCGTCCATATCAAATTCTAATGTGCTTATAGTTTCTAAATCAGTCCCAGAATTTTTGACAATGTCTTCCACAAATGAGAACACTTTCTTTGCAATGTTTAAATTGTAGGTCGTTGTTGGCCTACCGTGTATTCCAAATTTATCTTTAGCCAGTTGCAACACATTCTCACAAATTTTAATTAGGTCTGACATTGTGCATAAGAATTTTAAAAACCAAATGAAAATAGAGAAAGATTTGTTTTCATGAAAAACTGAAAAAGAGAATACAGACCATGTGTTCAGCCAGTCAGCAACTTGTGCGAGGCATCGGGCGCCGGACGTCTCATGATGAAACTCTATGCTACCCATGCTCACACGCTCGTCATAAATATCGTCACAGATTGACGAAAAGTGATTTTTGCACGTAAATTTCACCACTTTACGCCATAAATCGCATATTGTGGTCATTTTGGTATAGGTGGGAACCCTGGATTCAACCGGCACCTCGGAGGTTTCCCTTGTAAGTTAAGAGAAACTGCTTGCGACTCGTGAAATGTGATTTCTGCCTTGACGTTTCCGAACAAGTCTTGCACAGCCTTGAAATATTTTCCCTTCTGCAAAAAAAGATTTTTTTGTCTCATAGTCTGCGCAACCGTTTCCAGATAGCTCCACATTTGATACAACCCAGACTCTTGCATACGTTTCAATTCCTTCGCTATGTAAGGAGTGAGCAAATTTTTGGTTCCAATCGTGTAAAGTGTGATTCGAAATGGCGTGTCACCTCTACTTCGAACACTATATTGATTTCCAGAACATTTCAGAAATCTCATATAAGTTCCCATCCAATCTGTAAAAATGAATGTTGCGAAAACTGGGCGGGTATCAGTTGATAATTCTGTAAACTTTAGGTATCGCTGAGCTAACTTATCGTTGCTTGATAAGAGCTTTGATTGAAATTTGGCTAAGAACCTGCTAAACTTACGACTCTGTTCAATGGTTTCGATTAATTCTGGAATAACTGCGTTTTTAAGGATGTTGTACTTAGAGCCATTGCTGATAGTATATTCGTCTAAAGCAATCAAAGGGATTCCTGTGTCGACTAGTTCCTCGACTCCACGAGGAGTTTGTGGTGGCAGTAGGACAGCAAGGCAAGAATATATTGAGCCCTGGTAGTAATTAACCATAAGAAACAGGTTTCCAAATAGAAATAATATAAGTGCAACACTTCCATTGCGATAGGACTTTCCAGAACTTTCACTGACTTGACCGAGAAATATGAAGGTTACGGTGATCACTTTCTTTACCATCAAATCCATAAGGATAACCCATGCGTCCAGTCGCACTCCCTTTACCATCAAAGAAATATATGCACCAGAGTTTTCAAAGGCAAATTCCACAAACGTTAAGTATCCCGCAACCAATAAAACGCATATTAACAGCGAAAACCAAACCTCCACGTCGAAAGGAGATACGAAAGTTCCCATTCCATTTGAAACAGATGGTGAATTAGTATGTGTAACAAAATTAATGGTTCGCTGGTACAGTTGGAAAATTGTATGGTTTCCGCGCAAAAACGCGTAGTTCACTTCATCTGGGCAATGCCAAAATTCTTGCGGTCAATTAGCGTCGCATTAATTTCGCACTGCAGTAAGCTCAAATTATACTTCCCCGCAATTAATGCTATAGGACAGAAGTCGGCGCTCTTTAACTTGGCAAATTCATTCTGCAGTAGGGCGCACCTACCCTCTAGAGGCGTTTGCACGAGGGTGAGGTATCTATGAAAGTCCTTGTTCTGAGCGTCCCACGATTTTCGAACACTTGATGATGAGAGTGTCGGTACTACTGTGAGCGTTGTTACGTCACAGGTTAAGCATGGAACGAATAGAGGTGAAGTTACACCGTCAAACAACAAGACTAGTTTCGCGGTACCTAAAAATCGGACGTGCCACTCCAGGTAAACCAAGTCGTTGTCTCCATCAGCGTAACCGAACACGAATTCTTGGTACAACATATCTGAAAGCGTAATTAAATTTTCGCACTGTATCTCCGTTGTGATTGACTTTACAAGATTGACAAAAATGCCTTTAGTCCGAGCAGATTTCTCCGGGCTACTGTAGCCATGAAAGTTGAAGCTGTCTGACGTTTTGTCTTGAAGATATTGGCGTTGATATGCTTGCTTTGCCGAAAGTATTGATTGATTAAAGCGATAGTGGCGTAATGGTGTGTAGGGACTATCAGTTACTATGAATTGGAAATATGGAAAATCTGTCTCCACGTCTAATAACTTGTCGCCTTTCGTGGTGAAGACGAAAGTGACATCAAAATCGTCAAGTAGGCTAGTCCAAAGTTCACAATTACCGTATGACATTATCATTGCCACGAAGATGGAAATCAATGAGCGCATGATCAATCTATAGTAC